TCCGAGCCAATCGCAGGCCTTCGTCCATTAGAGTCTGCTGTATTAGATGGCGGCTCCAGCTGGCGGGGTTCGAGGCGTCAGTGTGGGGACGGGGGGACGGAGACTGGTTGCACTGGGAGCTGGAGTCTAACAGAGCAAACAGAGCTCAGCTCAGACTGTCTTTTCTTTCTTTGTTTTATTTTAAAATAACTTCTAATGTAAATTCAGTGTGGAGCGTTACCAAGCGATACGCAGTCAAGGCTCTCTGCAGACAAGCTGTCTTCATCTGCTCTCTGAGTCGCTCCTTCAGATCCCTCCACTCCAAGGAGCGATGACTCAGACACGATGACCTTAAACACACCACACAAGCCCGCTCATGAACGTCTACAAACGAGGAGACCAGATGAGCTCTAATAAGCAGCGGAAACAGCAACAAGGATTCACCTCGTGTCTCGCTCTCTTCTGAGACAAACCGCTGCTCTCGTCAGCATTTGACCTGCAGCAGAGACAAACATGAAGATGAGGTTGCACCTCTTGTTTTGGAGCTTTGAAAGTGTATTTTAACTAATTTAAAGTAACAAAGTTCAAAGTGGAAAGTAAAAATCATCAGAAAATCCCACATAAAACTTAAATTGACAAATTGCGACACTCTACCAACAGGGAAGAGTGTTTGTTACACTGATAGTTTTAGCTGAACTGACTTTTCAAAACATGAGTATGTGATTTTAAAAAGGTTACATTTTTAAATGTTTAATTTACAATGGTAAAATTAACATACAAACAAAAGGGAAGAAAACATTTAACTTTAAATTTCTAGAGTTTTAAATATAGACCCAGTCTTTTACATTATGAATAATTGGAAGGTTTCTTGGTTGATGTTTGCTAAAATCTTTTTTAATCTCAAAAGGTTTTCCTAAAACTTGTATAGAAATGCAATCATGAGTGAGTTTTCAATTAATATTTTTGTTACTGTGAGTTGTATATTTCTGTGTCCAACTCAACAACATCTTTCTGGAAACGGGCGTAAAGATGTTTTTTATAGCGTAACATCTTCCCCTCCTTCAGATTGAAACTGTGAGACTAATACTTCGCAGTGCGGTTGCTTAAATTGATACTAAAATTCTACATTTTTGTATTAACTCAGCATCTTTGTGTCATGTTCTAATTAAGCTACATTTGCATCTTCAGGTACTGGCACAGAAAATACCACAGTAAATTAAAGTTGTGGAAAAGTGAAAATACGTACACAAAGAAACGTCTGTTGAGGTCTAAATGTGGTTTCAAGGTGTTTGGGGTTGCTCAGATGTGCTAACCAAAACTGACTTTTAGCATCAGGGGATTTACAAGCTGGAAAAAGTTACTTTGTCAATGTATATGTATCAGGGCTGGATAGAAAGAAGCGCAGCCCTGCTTTGAAAATGTATGAAAAATGTATCAATAGATGTCCAGTCTTTGCATGGAGTGAGGCGTGAATGTCACTGAAATACTTACCTTGCATGTTTGAGTGTGGAGGTGTAGGCACATTTCCTGGCCACCTGTCGAGCCAGAGAAAAGAGCTCCACCCGTCTGAGCAGGAGAGCGTTGTCTCTCATGCAGAACTGGGCAGCAGCTTCATTGATGATCAACTGGGGAGGGAAAAAAAAAAACAGTGCGTGAAGGACTAATGGGTGCTTTCAAGCAGGCAGCTTTAGTTTTTCTGAGTTTACCTCGTGGTGTGTGAGCTGCTTTCCCTCTCTCCTCTTGGAGTCGAAGCGACCATAAATGAGGCTGTATTTCCGGATCTCCTCCTCCTTGTTTGCATCCTGCGAGCCCATTCTGAAGATGTGACCCACGGTTTTTGCTATTTTCTTGTTCATCCTCAGCAGAGTCTTTACCTCTGTGGGGTCTGACCTGGGCAGGGTCCTATAGAGTCTCTCCACACTCTCCACCACGGCCCTGGCCGTCTCCTCGTCCAGCTGCCCTCCTGGCCAGGCTGACAGGGTTACTGGAGCGAAGGACGCGGAGGGCACTGGAGATGTGGAAGGACCCGGAGGACCTGCGGACAGGAGAGGTGGGCTGTGCGGTTCCTCCTCGGCTCCAGATGCAGAGGCAAGAGCGCCATTCCCATCGGGGTCTGGGCTGAGCCAGTGTGGGTCCATGGGGGAGAGTTTTTCCCTGTAGTGTGTGTCCGGCGGCTGCGGCGACGCCTGGGAGCAGGGACTTCTCGGACTGCCGCTGTACATTGGGGTGAGACATGCCCGGTCCTCTCTCTCACAGGGGGAACCAGGTTGCCCGTTGCTCAGAGCCTTTCTGTGCCCTCCAGCTGACCCACTGGAGCCCGTCCCTTCGACTTTGAACAGCGGGATCCCCCCAAGAGGGACATTAGCGACGGGCTGACTGAAAAGGGCAGGGTTTGCCGCCCAGTCGCGGAGAGCCTTCTGCAGCCTACGCACATGCAGCGGCTTGGTGGCCATGCCAACCAGGGCCATGATTTCTAGGAACTCCTCCTCGGCAGCCTCGCAGAGCTGTTGCACGTCGTCACCGCCTTGCTGGATGAAGGTTTCATAGTAGGCCAGCAGGTTGGCCCTCTGCAGCACCCGGTAGAGTTGCAACTCCCCAAGGGTGCGTGGCAGAGACATAGCACACAGCACTGGAAAGGTCAAACAACGGAGGGGAATCGCATGAACCTGCAGAGAAAGAAGTACTGGAGACGTTAGTTACTAAAGTGAAGTCTCTGGCATGAGGTCCAAACATAAGTTCAAAAGCTTCTCCTTTGCTTTCAAGAAGTTCCTGAAGTCTTGCGCTCTAAGCAAAAACCTCTCTCTATTTTTCATGCATGCATTTTCTCATACAACTAAAAGTATTTAGATAGATATTTTTTCTTACCTTTTCAGGTTCCTTGTGAAGATCTGTTCCGCCTAAACTGGGAATATATTCTCTCCAATGTCACGGCTCGCAACTCCCGGAGCGAAACTGACAAAGAAACACAATATCAGCCAGTCTTTGAGACAGGAGCAGCACACGTTCAGACAGGAATTACTTGGATCACTGGCTCCTCTCTAAAGCTACAAGAGGAGGACACCCTGCTCGGCGTCACATCGCTCTTATTATCCTATTCGTTACTCTTACCTCTCGCCGAGAGCCTCCACGGCGCAGATTTGCCGTAGTAAATCCCCTTTGCGTATCGCTCCTCGGCTGATATCACTGGCAGAAATCCTCCTCCGGCGCACCGTATTGGTTGCTGGCTGCCTTTTTTGCCGTCTGTGTGGGCTGGAGAATGACGGGGGCGGACTGCAGCACGCCATCTGACCGAAAAAGAGCCTTCCTCTCCCGGTAGAGAGGCGGCTTTCAAATTGGAGATGTGGGTGGTGGTATAGTGGGGGCTTGAAATTAACCCTCATGCGTCTTCGAGATTAGTCCTTCATGCAGAGGCTTCAGGGGATTCCCGGAGGTTTACCGTGTCAAAAGACCCTCCAACTAAAGAGTCATCGTGGAGACTCGCCTTTAAAATGGCCAAGAAATGAGGGGAGACTGCGTTTCATTCTTATTATTCTTAAAAAGACGGAATTTAAATTGATAAACACAAAGTAGTAAAGTGGAAGGACAATGATTTGGATTAAATAAAATATGTATGTTTTGCAAATAAAATTTGAAAAGTGTGGCGTGAATTTAGATTCAGCTGAGGTCTTTGAGATATATCTGTCAGTGTTATGCATCTAGAGAATGAAGATTCTTAATTTAATTTATTAAATTTAACTCTGGTCTTTGACTGGACCATTCTAACTCTCATCTTGCCAGTGTTAATAGAATCAATTGGAAATAAATGGTCCCTGAAATTGAGACATGTCATTCTGTTTTGAATCAAGTTAGCAAAAATAAAAAATAAATCATCAAGTTGGTAAAGAGGGCTAGCCCTGTTCTACTCTGAGTCCTCTGGAGATAATTGTACAAAAAAGAGGGATGTTTGTTTTACAAAACTTTGATCAGCTTCCGGCGACCCTTCTGGAGAAAAATATTGCCACAGCATCATGCTGCCTTCACCATGTCTCACTTTGGATTCTGTTGACAAGGTGACAGCAGAGTAAGTTTTCCATCACACAAACACTTTGCATGTTATGTTAAAAGGTTAAATTTTCCATCCCATCTGACTGGTCATTTCTCTTTGCTTGTGTCAAGGTGTAAAATGAAAGTAACATGGCTTTTGTTCTACAAATAAACTTTGTTCAGGGGTGTTTAAGTGTCAGAGTAAAATGTGTATCATATCCCAATTAAACACAATGAAGTTTAGGATTGCAAGGTGACAAAATGTGGAAAAATTGAAAGGTTGCAAAAGCTTCCAGGCCTTGGTATAAATAGCTTTAGTACTACATTAAGTTAAAACAAATACCAAAAAACTTTAATGCTTGAAAATGGATAGACTAAGATACATTTTAGTTTATTTTACTGGTGAAAAACATATTTAAAATATTCAGTAAAAGAAACAATTCCCTTTTTACTTTGGAATAGTCCAGTTTGGCTCCTGGCTGATGCAAAACATCATGATGCTGTCCGTTCAACTATCTAACAAACCACTGAGAACTTTGCAGTACAGCTGGGTTTATAGCAAGATTAGATTGCCCTCTTTGTTGCTAATCAACTGGCTGCATTAAACTTTTTTATTTCCTTCCCCTTCACTGTTCTAAACAGTGGGTTGGGTTGATATGTCACATAAAATCACAATAAAATGCATCATAATTATATGATTGTAACATAAACCTGTGGGAAGGTTCAAAAGTTACATCTACAGGGCACCGTTTACTAGTCTACACCCAAGCAAAAATGGTTTGTGAGACTGAATGTGTAGTGTGACTCCATGATTTCAAATTGCCTCTCTGACTATGGTGCCATTTCCCCCAGAGGCCACGCAAGGAAATTCAAGCTGAATATTATTATTTCTATTGTTAGCGTCCTAATTCAGATTAATCCAATTTTATTTCAGCCAAGAAATTATGATTTGACTAACTCTAAGACTGCGACTGACTGGCTACAGTTTAAACATATGTACCCTTTGAACCTGATCTCTCTGTTGAACACTAGGTGGCAGCACCGCCCCTCCGATGTCTGCTCACTGTCAGAAAACCATAGAAGGAATTAGAGGAGGAAAAGAAACAGTTGGCTTTCTGTTCACAAACAAGGTTACACATTCATCTTAAAGGTATGTTAAATGACTCTCATCTTTCTTGAACGAAATATGTTAAATGACTCTGGCTCTCGCTTTAGCCCGTCTCTGTTTTTAAGCTCGTCTGAGCTGAAAGGAAGAGGAAACAGGCGCTAATAATAGCAGGTTCAGTTAGTATCATTGGCTAAGAGTTAGCTTCTGGCGAGCTAATTGCGTTCAGACTTGCTGTTTTTTATCTTTCATATTTTTCTTCTGTAAGTAATGCCATATTTAATGAAATAATTTCTAAGTTGGACTCAGAAGAAGCTAATATTACTCATATTTGTCTTCCTGCTTCCTCATGCTAACACCCTGGCTGCTTGCTAACCTTCGTCGTTTCAAGAAAAACATCAGGAGCTTTCAGCAGGACTAAGATGATTTCTTGTGTGACAGCCAGGTTACCGTCAGAAAAGTCTGCTTTTAAATTTCTTAGTTAGTCAAGCTGTGATATTCATTGTAATTTATGATATATGTTTGAATATGTTCGTGTTAGAGCAAGCTTTATAAGTTTAATTTGATCAAATGCCGAACAAATACAGCCATTCATCTGCAAAACACAAGTTACGATGCTTTGCTTTTTCTGACGAATTTCTTCAAAACATTAAGGTTTTGCTATTATTCAAAACTATGTAGTTGTGCATTATCAATTATTGACTCTCGTACGTTTAAAAAAATCAATACAGATCCATATCAGGCATTACAACCTTTACACCTTAATAAAATGTTAAACAATAGATTACAAAAAGCCTTTTCTTCTATTGTTGTACTCCTGAATGATTAGATTAATATTTAAAATGGAATATTTGGTGTAAAAGCAAATGCTCCACAGATTTGGTTAGTAGAGACTGAGCTCATTGTGTTTTCTTCTTGCTTTGAGTTTTAATGTACTGTTTTATCTTATCTTATCTTTTTTTTTACAGTGTCTGTTACTTGGCTTGTGATAATCTTTAAATGGCACTCCTTATGAGTTTTATTTTACTTAGTGGCCTTTTCATTGGCATCAGAGTGCAGGGTTTGAATAGAGATGAAGCTTGGATAAAAGAAAAATAGAAAAGCCATGCAGGATTTTCTGTTTTCATAGTTATGTGCTACTTTGCATTGGTTTGTAACATTAAATCCAAGTAAACTACATAGATGTTTGTGGTTGTATAGTGAGTTAAAATGTGAAAAAGTTCAAGAAGTATGAACAGCTTAGCAAGGCACAGTTTCTGCATCTTGATGATGAAAGTTTTGTTGGTTAAATAACAACATTGAATATTTCTGGCTATTTTAGGAGATAAAATGAGTTAAAAATCTCATTTTTACTGACATCGGTGCCTTTATGCACTGGGAGAAAATCTGGTACAGATATAGTAACATTTTACTAACTTATGTTACCTTATATTTATTTAGACTTTAAGGATCTATTTCTTTGATTGAAGGGGCTGTTTTGTTTTCTGATCTGTTTCTTTTCAGGTGGCCGATTTCATAATGTTAGCTGTGAGGAACCCCAGTTTCATATTGGTATGAGCTAATGGAGGAAACTCTGCAGCAGATCATGGAGTTAGGGAACTTTTGTCCCCTTTCAATCTGACAACTGTAAGGGACATGGAAAAGGAAGAGATGGATGATGAGGAGGTTTGTGACGGTGGTTTTGTCTCGGAGCAGCAGCAGGCTGGAGAGACTGATGAGTGCACACAGGAGGATAATACGGTCCATCTCAACTCTCAGGAAACTTCAGTTATTGACCCTGGAACGGGTGACGTAGAGTCATGTGAATCCATGGAGGCTAAAGAGGACGCAGAAGAGGTTTCAGAAGGGTTTGAACAAGATTTGGATCATGAAAACCCACAGCTTATCAATCAAGAAGAAGATGAAGCCGCAAAGGAGCAACAGATGAACGGAGAGTCTGGCTGGAGGGCGCTGGGAGGCGGACGGAGGTGCAAGTTGAGGAGCGGCAGCTCTCTGTTCGAGCAGAGCTTTCAGAAAGGCAGCATCCCGTCCAGCGGAAGTCGGCACAAGCAGACTCGCAGACGCAACCATCACCACCATCAGCAGAGTCGCAGTCGCAGGCGGACGGGAAAACAACTTTTCTTTGCTTTCAGAGAGATGCTGTCAGACTCCCTGAGCGTCTGGTGCATTTCCTGCGTCCACATGCTGATTGAGATCATTGTGACATTAACTCACAACTGCGGAGTTGGAGTGGAAATGGGGGTTTTGAAACTTTACAACTGCGGGAAGCAGATTGTTGTTAAGATCACCGATCTGCCTGGAATGAAAGCAGACTTTAGCCGGGTTTTGAAGCGGATGAAATGCGCTGGAGCAGACCTTTTGGACAAAACTATGAGGACTCTTAAGTGGATAAAGTCAGCCGTCTCCTCTTGTTTGAGACTTTTCTGCGCTTTAGTTATTTTCAGCTTCCAGTGGGTGAAGGGGTTGCTGCTGCGTGTTGGTGGTGAGCGGGGTAAACGCTATTGGATGGCTTTTCTGGAGTCGCGGGTCTGGAAGAGGCTGGCGTCTGTGTTGGAGAGAGTCCGGAGCTGGTTCAGGAAGTATCGCAACACTCCGTCATCGCCCTCGTCGCCCAGCAGAGCCGCAAGAGGGGAGCCAAGTCAGGAACTGGAGCGACTGCTGGCGCTGGCCGAGGTGCCAGAGGGGGAGCTCGACCCCTTCACGGTGCTGGGCGTGGAGGTGCATGCCACAGAGACGGAGCTGAAGAAGGCCTACAGACAGCTGGCTGTCCAGGTGTGTGTGTGTTTAATCTGGAGTAAGGAGCCTTTTCCACCCTTCTTCACTTCAATAACCTCGACTTTTGTGCTTTCAGGTCCATCCAGACAAAAACAAACATCCGCGAGCCGGAGAGGCGTTCAAGGTTCTGAGGGCAGCCTGGGATATTGTCAGCAACCCTGAGACACGGCGAGAGTATGAGCTGTGAGTAGGAGAAAGTCACCAGACCCCTGAGGAACAACGCACTGTTAGGAAGGACATCTTGGCATGAACATACAATAAATACAGTTTCTTGATTTTAATATTTTTCTTTTCTTGGCTTTTGCCATTTGCAGCTTAGAATTTATTACAATCCTCAGCAGCCTCATAAACTTTTGTTCTATTAAAAAAAATGCTTTTTTGCTTTCTATATAAAGATGTATTTTTCCTTCTGTGACAGGAAGAGTAACACTGAAGCCATTTACTCCGGCTGAATGTGACCAAACCTGAGCTTTTCTATCTGTGAAGCTGGAAAGAGGCAGTATTATGTTAAAACGCTTTTTTGAGGTTTACATCATGTTATAATGTTATTCCCTCATCAAAAACATATAGGGAGTGTTGCCATGATTCTTCATATTTGAGAAATCCTCCAATCTGCCATCTCAGTTATTCAAGGGTGGCTAAAGGATTGCTAATACAAAGCACACCTTGAACGCCACATCTGCAGAGCTTATCACACAAACTACTGCTCAGTGCAACGGCTGTAAACGGCTTCAAGAGGAGCATTGCTGTGATGATGTGCAGGTGCAGGAATCATATTTGATATTTATAGCATTTTTATAGCAACTGAAGGGAACATAATTACCTGACTGTGCTATAAAACGACACTTTGTGCCTGGAAAACACAATACTCCTTTAAAATGTTGTCACTGAGCAAATGGCCTGACAACTGACAGTTTGCCTGCATTTTGAGGAAGTATTATGTGTAGTTAAGGTGTCACCTACTTATTTTGACTTACCTTTATGTTAATTACAGCCTGGGAAAATAGCCTTGCATTCTTAATTGTGTGATATGAAAAGAAAAACAGCTGCTAAAAACTGGTGAGATTGTTGATACAAGATCAGAAAATGCATCCCTTCTTCTAATGAGACAGATTTTTCTCATCAAATAAATTGCTGGACTTCCCAACAGAACCTAAACATGCCCAACTGTTTCCCACTGAGGGGGAAACATGCACTGCAGTGAGAGATTTTACAATCTGCAGCATCACTTACTGATTTATGAGTTTTAAGGAAGGCCTCATCCAGTCTGGAGTTCTCTGTTTAGTAAAATAATCACATTTAAAAAGTACAGCATATTTTTTCTCTCTCTCTTTGGTCACTTCTGCATTTGCTTTCATGGCTGAAGAGAAGACGGCTACAACCAAAACCAAATCTAGCTGCTTGGATATGCTGGTTTGCATCTGCTTTGTGATTCCAGTGCAGAGAAAAGGCAAATACGACGTATAAAAACAGTTGCCGAATTCAGAGAATATTCACATTTTCCGCCTTAGATTTGTTTAGCAGGGAACTTCTGAATTGTCTTGAATCACAAGTTGTGTCTTTCCCACACAGGAAGCGCATGGCAGCAACCGAGCTCTCAAAGTCCATGAACGAGTTTCTCACCAAACTGCAGGATGACCTGAAGGAAGCCATGAACACCATGATGTGCACAAAGTGTGAAGGCAAGCACAAGTACGTTGATGCGCACCTGACATCACTGTATCGACACATGACATCACTGTATCAACCCGAATCCCTGAAGCGTTCAGTGTTTCTCACACCGGAGTCGTCGTCGTGAACGTTGTTCCGCTTCACTGGTTTCTCCTTCATGACCCGTGTGTGCAGGCGGTTCGAGATGGATCGAGATCCTGCTGAAGCCCGCTTCTGTGCTGAATGCAGCCGTTGCCATAGCGCCGAGGAGGGAGACCTGTGGGCCGAGTCCAGCATGTTGGGTTTACGCATCACGTACTTTGCTTGTATGGAAGGAAAAGTGTATGACATTACAGGTGAACGGACGTTTTTATCAGTTTATTTCTGTCTAAACTCAAGACTAAGACGGACTTTCAAGATTGTGCTTCTTCATGAGAAATACTTTGCTTCTACCTCGTAAACGTTTATAAGAACGTCTCGCAGATTAAATAATCCGTCATCTGATGGTTAACAGCATAGAACATGTGGAAGAAGATGAAACAAAATCTCAACCCTTTGGAAACTGATGCTGAACGTCACCCTAAACACACCGCCTCCATGGTGAGATACAGCGGTGGCACCATCATGCTGAGGGAGACTCTGTTCCTCTTGTCAGAGCTGATGGTAAACTCATTGGATTAATTGATCAATAAATTAGTGAAATTATTGTCAACTAATATAGTATTTAATTGAGTATACAGACTCACAAAGGCCAATTGCTGAAAGAAAAACACAATCAGAGCAGTAATTAAACTCTACGAAAATATAAACATTTTTGCATAAAAGATAATAAAAAATACAAACTTTGTGAATATGGTGAACCCAGAACTCCACAAGTTAGAGAGTTTAAGCTACTCTTGGTTCAAATTGGGTATAGAAAATCTCCTATTAAGGCCCTTTTGCTGTCAAACTATTAATCAGTTAATCCATATAATGGTCAACAAATCAGCCGTTTGCTGTATAAATACTAATTTTAGCAGAAAGGACTAAAACGCTTTTCACATGTTGATGTTGGAAGTATTTTTTTTTAACTGCAGATAAGTCCTTTGCTACAAATGATCAAGTGTACGCTGAAGGACTGCTCTGTCGTTTCATTTTAGGCAATACATGTTTTATGCCCTTACTTAAAAAATAA